GCAGCAGTGGCAGACAACTGACTGCTATTCAATCTATAACAGTGAAAAAAGTTTTTTGTTTTTAAATCCAAGCTATTGTGACACCAGATGTAATTGTGGCACTGACTGGGGAAATGGGCACAGTATGCACTGTGAGCCTGACACAGAAGCTGGCAGCAGTGGCAGACAACTAAGTGCATTTACATTACATAGAAAAATAAAATAAAAAAAAAGCATACCCTTATCCCTAACCTAGCTATGCTTTTCCCTATCTTATGAACAGCAGCTACACTTTCCCTCCTCTTACTAAGCATGCAGCTTGAGAATGAATCTAAAATGGATGCCTTCCAGGAGGTGGGAGGGTCTGCTAGGGAGGGTGTGCTGCTAATTGGCTGGAATGTGTCTGCTGACTGTGAGGTACAGGGTCAAAGTTTACTCAATGATGACGAATAGGGGGCTGGTCGAACCGCGCATATGTTCGCCCGCCGTGGCGAACGCGAACATGCTATGTTCGCCGGGAACCGTTCGCTGGCGAACCGTTCGGTACATCACTACTTACAGGATAACCCTATTGCCCTTTACACAACATTTTGTAATTCAATATTAAAACATACCAATATTAATGGTTAGATTTGGTCATTGGAAGCATGGTGGAAGACCACGAGTCTATTCAAATCAAAACAAGTATAGATATGTTGTGGCTTCCATACAACCCTATTCAATTGGATTTCCAGAAATGCAACGGAACATGAACCTTTTCAATGTTAATAGGCTTTTCTTATCCTTCCATTGTAATCCTTTTGACATATAGTCTGATTTGGTTTACGTGGAATTTACTTGACAGTTCAGATGATTCAAATCCGGCCTGATAGCTGTGCAGCTATCTTCAAGATCTGAAATGAAGTTTCTGCGTCCGCTGTTCAGTTATTTTCATTTTTATTTTTTATTTTTTTATGGAAGAATGCTAACTGGATAAATCAAATAGAAATGATTGATGTGAAGTATGAATCATAAAACTTTCTGTGACTCTTTAGCGAAATACATGTCTTTTTCACCTCAACTATTTAAGTTGAGGTTCTTACGAAAAAGAAATGTTTCCTCAACATTGCCAGTATATTTTTATCTGTACATTAATATTTATTAAGATAGATTTCGAAGTAAACCTGCTCCTAAGATATATATATATATATTATCATACCATCAAAATATATATTTATTTACTTTAGGAGTATTTATAAAATAACGCACCTGCTGCCTGTTGTTCCAGTGCCTCCATTACCCATGCATTGACATCAGAGAGTTATATACTTTTCTTGCAAACATTACAAACATATACTGGGAGGGTAGCACTATGATAGGGAGCAGGAGAGCCACTTCTAGGAAAGGTCTGGTTCTTCTGCTCTCCCTGTCACTCATTCCTCAGTTTACACCTGTAAGCTGCCAGCATATAGAGGTCTATGGTAGGATTTGATTGACAGCACGGTAGAACCAAAGATCTAAAGGTCTTGAAGTTAAAAAAAACAGGCATGCTTACATATATGATAAAGTGCAATTATATTTATATTTCTTTGAGATGCAGGTGATAGATATCTTTTTCATTATGCTACAGCTTAGTTTTATTTAATTTTGTATTTTTAAAAAGTCAATTATTAGTTATGTGGACATATAAACACAAGATGCATAAATCATGCTGTTATACTTAGGAATAGACACTTTGTAATTTATTAATATATGTATAATTTCTGTACATTTTTGTGATAATATACACTCATCACTGTCTGATGTATATTGATACACATGTCCCAAGTCAGTGTACTGGAAACTAATACTAAGCATTTTTCTTGTAAGGCATTTTTGTAGTGTATTTAGTGGGAGTGAAATAGCCCTGTGTATCACGTGTATCTTTTAATTGTTGCTGAAGTGCATTTTCATTGCCTCCAGTTTAACATTTCATGATAGAATGTTTAAATGTATCTGTTACTCTGATTCTCTTCCTGGAGGTTTTGATCTCGTGTATTAACCAGTTGGGGAACCATGCAAATAGCAATCCCTTCATTTTATAATCTCTGGCATGCCTCTGGTTCTTAAGCAGTTAAAGGAACACTACAGGCACTCAATGGAGTAGTCTTAGTGGAATATGCTCTCCATTTTAGCCCTGCAGCTGAAAATGTTGCCATTTGGCAGGGATTATAATGTTTTGTATTGCAGGGCTAAACTGCCTTAAGTGGCTGACATACTGACAGCTACTAGAGGCACTACCATGAAATAGCAGAGTAAAACTCTGCTATTTTAATCAGATGGTCTTATAGAGACCATCTGATTGGTGCAGTATCATGTTTTACTGCACATGTCCACTAGCTTCCCAATGCTTCCCTATGAGATCTTGATTTAACTTTGTGACGGCCAACTGTATTAATTTCCCATGGGAAATAATGGGCTTCTGATTTAAAAAAAAACGTAAAAATTTGATTTTTTTTGCAAATTTTGAAAAGAATGAAATTCAAAAATTAATAAAAACTATTTTTTTTTTCTATGTGCACACCTTTAGTAAAAATAGTATTTGTAGTAAATGTTCTTTAACACTAGATGGCGATGATAGGATTTCAGAACATGAAAAGTCAGTTGGAATAAGTAAGAAATATGTAATTTTACATGGACATAGTATTTCTTTCCAAAATGTATTAATAGTGAAGGCTATAATTATAATGATTTGGGGACAGAGTCGGGAAATGAGTATGCTGCTTATTTACACAGAAACATAAATCTTTATTAGGCCCTCTTAGTCTACTGTATGAGACCAATTTCCCCTTGCATTATTCCCTGCTCCTAACCAGGGTCACCATTACCCAGACATCTTACCTGTCCAGTCCAAATGCAGCTCCTTCCACTCAGATTGAAACTGACACAATGAGCCAAAATGATACAGTAAGGTATTCAGACTACATACCTGGTAGCCTCTTTTTTCCACTGGACTAGTTTTACCTGTATGTTGTCTCTACTGCAAGATGGCTTTAGCAAGTGACTGATATTAAAGCATACCTAACTTAGAGAATATTTTCTGGTCAGTTTTACCTTAAATTTGAATTTGCTTTGAACTCTCACTTCAGTGAATAACTCTGATTGTATTACCATATTCATACTGGCACAATTTTGTATGTATAAATATTAAGGGAAATTGTTTCATACTTAACGTAATTTTCTTTTCCTGATCATTATTCATGGCAGCATTTACTCATGGGTTA